ACCTTTTTGGTCCTCCTGAACTCGCTCGTCTTGGCTTGTGTGGGCCTCCTGCTGTGTCTTTGTGGTGTCTGCCTGGCTCCTGGCACGTGTGGTATGCTACCGCAACGCCCAGCACACCTGTAAAGGACGGCATCACTTCAAAAATATATCGTGTGGGATCGGGAACGAAACGCGTGTAAAGTCAACGAGGAGGGTGGGCATGGGCACGTGTTGGCGCGGAGAGCGTGATAGAAGGGGTGCAGAGCGTGTGTGAGTGGCGTGAGGTGCGTGCTGGCGGCGCGACATGTGGGTGTGAATTTGCGTTTGCGTGGCCTTGTGGTCTAGTGGTATGATTCTCGCTTAGGGTGCGAGAGGTCCCGGATTCGATCTCCGGCAAGGCCCTGTTCTTTGCTCACCTTTTTTGGTCCCTCCTGAAACTCGCTCGTCTTGGCTTGTGTGGGCCTCCTGCTGTGTCTTTGTGGTGTCTGCCTGGCTCCTGGCACGTGTGGTATGCTACCGCAACGCCCAGCACACCTGTAAAGACGGCATCACTTCAAAAATGTATCGTGTGGGATCGGGGAAGAAACGCGTCTAAAGTCAACAAGGAGGGTGGGCATGGGCACGTGTTGGTGCGGAGAGCGTGATAAAAGGGGTGCAGAGCGTGTGTGAGTGGCGTGGGGTGCGTGCTGGCGGCGCGACATGTGGGTGTGAATTTGCGTTTGCGTGGCCTTGTGGTCTAAGAAATCTGAAGCGATAAGAAAAGGGGTGGGCTCCCAATACAGATGCTTGTCGATGCAATGTACTAAAAACGTCTCACGCGCGTTACATCTGGCGAATGGTACTATCGGCGACGTCGTCGATATCCAACTCACCGAGGATGACGATTTTACAGCAACAAGGCCGGCACACATTAAACGCATTTCCATTCGCTCCTCCCTATGTGTTTTACCTGCAGCTTCACGAGCGAACTCTTGCCAAAGAAACTATTGCTCACTGCGCTCCCCCCGGAGTTACCCCCGTTCGTCGTTGGAAGGAAAGTGGTGGAAAAATTGCTATACAGACTCGATCTTTCTCGGTCACAGTCGAACAAGTGCCTCTCGTGCCTGCGTTTGCGTGAACGACCGAAAAGTGCCAGGGGCTTTCGGTTGAAAAGGTGGTTATCGAGCCGCTACGACATCCCACCCGTCCTCAGCCTCAACGCTCTTCCTTTTGCGTGGCTGTAACCAGAGTTAAGTCAATGCGGCGCGTGTTCCTCGTCGAGCCCCTTACGCTTAATTTCTTACAGTATTTTAGGCCTTCGCAGGCTTCTCTAAGAGAAACAGAACGTCTTAACTGCCTGGGAGCAGAATGTGATCAGCTCCACGCTTATCCAGACCTCTAATTTTCAATATATGCCTTCTAAATTTTAGAGCTTCTTCGTGCAAGGCACGACTTTGTTTATTGTGCCTTTCCAAAGTTTTGGCCAATCTGACCTTTAAAGGCTGGTCCTAAGCAAGGGTGGGTAGGGCTAAAGGTGGGATTTGAGGACGAACTGGGGTTGAATTGCTAAGCCAGGCCACTAAATAAATAATATTTGACCAATAACACTGTTTGATTTTGCCGACTATGATCCAATAATACTTGATCGTGGAGGCCCTACGTAAGGGCTCCAATTTGGTCTAAAGGGCACCTTTTAGCAATTAAGGGCTGAATGGCCAATATTTGCCGGCCATTTACCCTTACGTAAGGTATCCACAACATAATAATTTTAAAGCAAATATGGGCTACTGATCAGACATACGCTGGCGAGGCAAGAGTATGTGAACAGGCTACTGCCGGGCCAGATCAAATCGTGTTTGTCGATGAAACTTCAAAGGATGGAAAGTATTGTACAATATTAATTTTGTGACTGCTGCATCTTACCTTGTTAATTTGTTGTATGGTATTGCTATGGTTTAGGTCCTCCCTGAGAATATGTCTTTGATTGGCATCGTCTTTTTCGTCAAAGGGTTAGGCTAAATTTTAGTCGGATGCCCTATCAGATAGGAGGTCTTCCGTAAGGGCCATCCTCCTACGTAGGACAATAAAACTGAGGGCGTTTTGGCAGAAATGCACAATACTACTATTTAAGAAGGTCATTTCAAGTTTCGTTTCCTGATATTGGATTTGAACGGAGAGGAAATACTTTGAGATAAATTTCAGATGGACAGCCGAATAATACATGTAGTGGTTCCCACGGCTCGAATGTTTTGCATGTTTCACGAGTCTATAGGATTCCTGTAATTTTTACCTGCAAGCCGGCACTGCCCAAACGGCTCAAATTTTATCGGAGGTCACAGTAAAAATATGCCGAAGCGAAGGGGGGAATAAACCTTGTCCGCCGCCACGTAGTGGTGGTCCTCAGTGGTTATTCTACACTTTCCAACCGCGATAAAGCCCTCGTAAAATACGACGCATCAACAAGCACCCAACTGAAAAAGACTCGATTAACCTGCCTTATTAGGCGCTTCGCACGCGAGGGATTCCAATACGGTGTCGAAAATATACACGACCGTTTTTTCATAGTTTTCGATAACAATCTCCGTGGTTTGGCCGACTGCCTTCGCCGATTCGGTAAAGGAATCACTGTTGTCCTCGATGGTTGGGGTCATTCGAACACAGGCTCGAAAGATTGTGGCGTTCTGTGGGTCTTCCTCTGCCGGCTCGAAGACACACCTATTCATGGCATTGTTATACCAGCATAACTCGTAAGATCTCTCGCCAATTGATCATGCCAAAGTTGAACGTACGATCCTTTCTGGCGAACACGCATAGATGTGGAGGCGTCATCGTGCGAGCATAGTCCGTCACACTTCCACATGAACGTCAGCTTATTCGACTCGTAATACCTTCGAACCGCGATGTTGCCCAAAGATTGCCTGAAACCAGATGTGTTAGTTACCGTGCAATGTCCAAACAGTTCATTGCCTTGGTTGTGAAGAGCCTGTCACGTAGTTGGCAAACGTTAGTATCAGGTAGATGAGCGCAATGAAAAACTGCCAGTTCGAACCATCTGAAAATCTTCGTGGCCGTTTGAGCTTGACAAAAAGTCCCAGGCGTGGTCTCCGATTCGCACGAGGCTAAAAGGTATCAGTCGGCTTTCGACAAACTGCAAATACATCCGAGGTTCGCATTCGCCGCCAGTCTCCACCTCCAAATTCATTTTTCTCTTGCCCACAAGACTAGGTGCTGGCATACCAGGTTGATGTAGTAACAGGTTGCCAATACCACTGATGTACGAAGATGAAATGCTCTTGAAAAGATCTCTGTACAGATCTTTCGACGTCGGCGATTGGCACTGCGTCGTTCCACTCAGCACGGAGCATTCTGGCGCCATCCCCATGTGCTAAAGTATAATTCACCATGCCATAACGTTAAACATCGCAATAGAAGCTATGATTCGATGACCTACACTCTGATCGGGTGTTTTATCCAGCGCCCGCTGCATCGCCTTGACCGACTTGACTTGCTCCCGAATGAGCTGGCGCAGTCGAGCGTTCTCTCCCACTGCTCTTTGGCGCTCGGTCATAAGCTGGTTCGAAATGTGTTTCCAAAAGTGGTCAGTGTCTGAATGTTGATGATCATCCGACACTCGGTTGAGCATCTTAAGCTTTTTCTCAAGCTCCGTCGCCACCGCTCGAAGGTGGTCCAGCTCGTGTTTGCGGCGTTTCCGCTTGGGTGTTACAACTGGCGGCGCTGACATCTCTGTACTAGCAACGGTGCCACCTTTGCGCATGCTTTTAGCGATCACTGATGGAGAGGAAGAGGAGGAACTGGTACTTTCGGACTGGCTGCCATGGGAGGCCCTCGCGACTCCCACTTCGTTGTCCGACCCGAAAGACTCCGTGAAGTCTTCGAAGGCCTGCTCAGACGACAGCACGTCCTCGCTTAGCACCACATTAACTGAAGGTCCTGGCGTGCCATATTTCACCGTATCTGCGTCTATTCCTGAGAGCACGTCCAATAGTTCTGCCTCTGGCGGGGGAATCAAGTGCAGCGGCATTTAGTGTCTGTCAGCAAGAATGCTGGTCATTTTAGTTTCCCTAAATAAACGATACCGAGAATGAAAGGGAATATAAACGAAGTCAGTAGTTTTTGTTTTACTTTGCTTCACAATTATTATTACTTAACATGTCGCCCATTTCGGGCCTGGGAATGCTCTTTGTTCTTATTGCGCTCATATTATATACAATAATGCAAATTTATCGACACCTTTAGTGTACGCCCTATTAATCCTCAACTATGATAGTCTGCTTCGTAAAAAAGCCGCCAGCACGGCGCTAATGCTAATAGAAAGTGTCCTGAGTCAGGACTCCTGACACGCTTCCAAGGTTAGCACTAGACCCGATCATTGCGATACAAAGTACTTGAGTCCAGTAGACTAAGGTGTGCATGATTAATGTGTCGCAGTGCCAAAATCAATTGTTTGTATTGGAGCCCTGCAAAATCGGAATCGTTAGCACGTGTAGCCTATTCGGTGTGATAGCAGGAACAACATATATCTAAATAACACGCTCTAGCTCTTTGAGTGAGCTACAGTAACCACCGACGTGGGTGCGTGATTTACATGTAATGTGGCGGAGTGAAGACGAGCTGGTATTTTATTTTATTTAATGAAATACCATATCGCAACCGTTCCGACACCCTACCCTTTCCGTTTCCGACCGTTCGGACCCAGGAGAAAGAAGAGACCAAAACTTATAAACATCATATAGCATATTCGATTAAGTGCGTCTCTAAAATTGCTCTCGGTCAGCTTTCGTGGGGTGCTAAGGAAATGGCCTCTAGAGGCCTCTGGGCCGAGAAATCGGCTATTTTACGTTTGCATGCATATTTGGCCTCAGAGCAATGTGCACCGGAGGCCGCAAATTCATTTGTGAGGGCGGCAGCAGGCAAAGGGGGCCACTAATGAGAGCACATGCAGTCAACGTGGACGTTACCCATTGGCCACCTTTATTAGACAATAAATGGCTGCTCGCCAACTATTGCTTGGTATCAGCCAATAGGCAGTTGGCACCTGTCTTCGTATAGACACGCACCAATGCGTGGCTGTAGAGGCGCCGACGGGGGCCAAAACAGCTCATTCTCCTTTTTTCAGCGGCTACTGAGCAGAGCTCCGACCTCTACCACCACAGTGCCGTAGCTCAAGGAAGAGCCAGGGGTTCGCCCCTGAGGTGCCCGTTCAAGTCGGGCCGGCGCTATCCTTTGGGATTCGGTGGGGGTCTGATGCTTGTAATGCTGAAGCAGGACGACGCTAGGACTGAACGACGGTGTCGCTGGGAAACGCTGTTGCCACTTACAGACGCTTGTGGTTACGTGTGATGCTGCTACGGGTACGCTTCATGTGGTTTGGAGTGTGCTGTGTTGTGGGTGCGTTTTGAGTGAGATGCTCGTGTGTTCTACGTGCTGCGTGACCTGTACGTGCTGCTGGAGCGAGATGGCGCTGGACTACGCTGGCACGGATGGACCGCGGAAGGCGCTGGAGCTGAGGCACGACGCCGTCGCTGTTTGGTGAGCTGCTGCTGTTGCTGCTGCTGGGCGACGCTGGAGCGAGTTCATGATGCTGGCCACTGCCGAATGTACAGCTGCATGTGTCAAAGCATGTGTGTATACAGTGTACTAAAAAACGCAATATGTATTTGCTTGGTTTGAAACTTACACGTGGCCTGCTACTGCGAGGATATCTTGTGTGTCAATTGGTGCAGGATCGACAATTCTTCGAATCGCAAGCAGCCGCTTGTACGCAGCGATGTGCTTGTCCAATATACCATCCTGGTGGAGTGGGCGCAGTGCGCGCAGGACGCTTCCAGATCCCTTCGCGTTTGTGCCACGCGCCTTCAAGAAGGCAATCACGGCTTCTTCCGCGCGGCGACCGGCGCCGAGGACTTGGTCTCGGTAGTCCTTCGCCTTCGTGTCCAGCTTGAAACCTTGCTCGAGGAATACTTTCATGAAAGCGACGACGTGGCGCGACTCTGACTTTTTCTGGCGGTCGGCAGAGCTCCAAACGGGTGGCACCTTCGTGTACCACTCGTACCATGTGGTCGGCAGGTGCGTCACTTGCTTCTTCCTGCGTTTGGGCTTGGGATCTTGATCTGACGTTGCGTCCGCTTGTTCACGCAGCACCTGTGTAGCTTGTGTGCTTGTACTATTTAGCATAGCAGCTTCGACGATTGTCAAGCGAGCGCTCAACGTGCGATTCATCGCGATAAGCTCTTTAATGACAGCGCTGTGATGACATCCTCTACATCCTGTTGCCTCATCTTGTTGCTTGTTGTTGCGATCAAAGGTTGTCGACGGTGATCCGTTCAGGGCCGATGACCAGGCGATCATGTCGGCATGAGAAATTCCAGACGCGTCCAAGCTCTCCTCCACGCGAAGCACGATCGGCGCAGAAGGAGACAGCGCCTTCAACTGAGGGTAGTACTTGACCAGGTAAGCGGTAAGTACAGCAAGAACCTTACCACTAACGTTGAACCGGGGGTCTTTCAATCCTGAGCATGAACTGTACAGGATGTCTTGTAGGCGCGCGAGTTGCTCCTGCGTGGAGTGATCCAAGACCTCAACGTCCACCACTTTTGGCACATCGTCGACACTCCACCCGCTCAGTACACGCGCGACCTTGCGGTCCTCCTGCGGTGTGTTGAACACATACGCGAAGCCTTTGTTTACCTTGCTCATGTCCCAGGCGCCCCGGTCGAAGATCCACTGTGGAGCAAGCTTCTCGTCCGCATTCGCATGTTGAGCGCCGCCGCGACGGAAGGAGTGCGAAGAGAGGGCTTCTGACGCCCCAGCGGGGTTTGAGACGCGCTTGAGGAGGCGGTTCACGTACGCTTGGACTCCATCTTCCCCGCGCGTAGTCTCCCTTGGTCGGGACGGCGTCGACAAGCTTGGGCCTGGAACCGCTGAGGGTGCTGCAACAGCGGCAGCGTCTAGCAGACTTGATGCGGGTGGTGTGCCAGCAGGCACGGACGAGCATGGGCCTGCGAGTGCAACCATCAAAGAGGCCGGGTCCGCTTCCAGTAATTCTGCTAGCGGAAGTCCGGGGGCGTTGGCGGTGGCTCCAACGGGAACAAGGTCTGGTAGCTGGCTGAGCAGCGAGCCGCTTGGTGCATCCTGCGTTGCCAGCGCCACAGCCAACGCGTGGATTGGGCAAGTAAGGAAGTCCGTCTTGTCTGGCACGAGCGTTAGTCCCTGCTCCTCGGTGGTCTTGACGCGCAGCAGACGCACGTAGAAGACACCGTCAGCTGAAACTGTCACGTGCTGCTTTTTGATGTATCCCAGGTCCGACGATCGCCCGAAGCAGTGCCACATCAGGCACGCGAGTGCAGCATCCTGGTAGTCGGCTTTCACGCGAGCGTTGCTGTAGACATATTGTGTAAGTGCATGCAGGTCCTCCTTTGTACAAGGAGGCGCCTTGTTAACAATACCTCCTTTCTCTCTTTTCAGACAGTGCTTATCTAGAGTTTTACTTTGCTTCAGTAGCTGAAGCTCCGTAGGAACCCTTAGATGAGGATACAGATCAAATAGCCAAAGATTTACATTTCTATAATACGAAACGGCAGTGTTGCGTGCAAGTTTGCCTTTCTTACCTTCGTTAGTAGCCAGATAGAACCCAAAGCGGTCCATTATTGAGGCGAAGCGCTTGCCAGTCGTGTCAGACGCAATGCTAGCCTGCACATACTCTAGACTTACCATCTCCTCTTCCAGCATACGCTTGAAAGCGCTTACCGCGGTGGTACGCGCTTTCTGCGTGTTTGCTGGCACGAACGATGCCAGGCTCATGTCTGCTTCGTTTGCTTTCCAACTGTGCACCCCTAGCCACTAAGACTTTTGTGCTGCCTTAGGCTGGCGACTTGCCTAACATAGGATAGTACCTAGAGACCGGAAGTGTCAAAATCTGCCAGCAATGCCCTAACAACTTGACATTTGTATTGACATATTCATATTTTGTCATTGGTTCCGACAAATATTTGTCGGAAGCTGTCGGAGCCGGGCCCTAACCTTAGATTATATGATTGGCGGAAATGTTCAAATAAAGGATTGTGATTGGTTTAAAAAGTGTTGCTTGCTGTACACTTACAATCTCATCTAACTATCGGTCGGAAAGACATGTATATTCATCCTTATAAGGGTTAAATTAGCAACAATTGCTGAACGGCGACGGGATTCAAGATGATCTTCAAATATAACGTCTCTTTGATTTGAATGGTCGGTACACACAAGAATTGGATCCGACAGGACAAATAATGTCTCGCCTCACCATCTCGAAGTCGCAATGCCCTCCAGATCCGGTCAGGTTTTTCCAGCCTTTTTTTTTTAAACTACTCACATTTAAGGCCGGGCTTTACTCAAGAGAGCGGTCCAATGTCGTGACTTGTTTGCAAATTAGATCTCGAAGCCTAGCGCTCTCCATCGTAGACTTCGTTCCCTGAGCAATCGATTGGAGACGCGCTCTCAAAGCGAGGCAGCATCGAAATAATCCTGATTTTTTGTGTGCGTTTCATGTTTAGAAAAACTCTCTATTTTAATAAAGCCCTTTTATTAAAAAGAGCTGCTCTTTATAAGTTTACTCTCTGTAGCCATGTACCATTGCATCTGGTACAGCTCGTTCTCCCCCTGGTCCTCTCACCAAGCTTGGAGTTTGTATGTCGTCCCTACCTTCACCACCTGACACACTTTAGCAATTTTTCCGATCGATTCGAAGCAGCGGTCGCCATAAGCATGCTGAACCGCTTCTCGAGCGCCGTGCAGACGGCTGTGTCGGGCGCGGCGTCGGCTGCCGTTTCTGGCGCGCAGAACCTACAAGGCATGCTGAGCGAGGAGTATCTCAAACACTACGAAACACCTAAGGACTGCACGGCGTCAGGCGGACACGAGCTGTCATGGAAGATCTTCCCTGCCGTGCACCGTAAGACTAACCACGAGTACAGCGTGTTTCTTTTTGACAAGGAAGACCTTAAGAAGCTCAAGAGCAAAGAGGCACAGGACCGTGTGCTAGAAATCTTGCGCCAGGAGATGAAGACACTGCGTGTGCTGCGTCACCCTCACGTCCTTAAGGTGGAGGAGGTTTTTGAGGAGAGTCGTCGCTCTCTATGCTTCGTCACAGAGCGCGTCACGTGCTCACTAGCAAATGCCTGTAAGAACTTCACGAACATCGCCAACGTCACGCCCGAGGTGCTGGAGATTGGCCTGACGGAGTTCGAGCTCGCTTGCGGGCTCATGCATGTGGGTGAGGCGCTTAGCTTCCTGCATCGTGAAGGACGTCGCGTACATCTCAGTCTGGGCCCGAGCAGCATCTTCATTACGCCCAAGGGCGAGTGGAAGCTCGGCGGTATGGGCTTCTGTAGAGTCGTAGAGCCTGGACAGACTTCACGCAGCGAATATTACAGCTTCGACGCCTCAACGGGCGTAAGAAACCCCGCCACAGGAGCGATTGAAGGAAGTTGGGAACCTCCGCTTGAGTACTGCGCCCCCGAACTGGTGACCGAGCCGCGTCAGTTCGATAGTAAAGCGGATATGTTTACGCTCGGTCTGCTGGTGTACGAATTGTTCGTCCCGCCTCGCGCGGATGGAGGACGCAATCCGGTCCTGGACGTACATGATGGCAACAAGATGACTCATGGCTACAAAGTGCAGTCTTTACACCCCATTTCGTTCCCAACGTCCGTACCCACTGCACTCCAGAACACCATCCGCTCATTGCTGTCGCTGGAGCCTGAGAAGCGTCCTGAAGCCCGTGCATTCCTCGCGTCGCCGTTTTTCGACTCAGGTCCCATTAAAACGCTGCGTATGCTGCAAAGTCTCGTGGAGCAGGAGCCAGCAGCTCAGGCCAAGTTCCTGACGACGCTGCCTGATGCTATCGATGGCTTCTCGCCTCGAGTGCTGCGTGATATGGTCCTTCCTGGGCTTCAGTCAGTGGTAATAAACAAGGCTGTGGCTCCGTTCGTGATCACTCCACTGCTGAAGATTGTGGCCAAGGTGGACAAACAAACGTTCTCGTACTCCATCGCGCCGATGATGGTCTCTCTGCTCGCTATTACTGAGCCCGTGCAATGTATGCTCATGTTCGTGTCGGAGCTGGAGGTTCTCATTCCGAAGGCTGAAGAAGGCTACATTCGTGATCATATTGTACCCATGTTGTGTCGCGCTTTGGACAGCACTGTACCTGAAATCTTGGACACGGTACTTAATAAGATTGTGGATCAAGCCAGTCTATTCGAGTACCGTATCTTGAAGCAGGTGATCTTGCCGCGTGTGAACAAACTCATCCTGACTCCTCCTCAGCCGTCTGTGAGGATAAACGCGTTGCTGTGGCTGGCCAAGTCGTTCCACGTGTTCGACAAGGATCTACTGATTGAAAGCGCACTGCCCACTTTGGCACAAACGCTTCATGAAGACAAGACGCCTGCTGCGTGCATGTGCATTCTGGGATGTTACGATAACCTCGGCAAGCACCTAGGTCCAGAGTTCACTGCCAAACTGATTATTCCTGCCGTGGCTCCGCTGTTGTGGGAGCAGACGCTCAACAACTCGCAGTTCGACATGGTGTGCGAAAAGATTCAGGACATGCTGAAGGCTGTGATTAGCGAGCGAGACAAGTCGTTTACTTCTCAGAGCTCCGTTAGCTCCGTAACCACAGGAATCACGGCCGCTTCGGGATTGTCAGATGCTGTTCGCGCTGCGGAGGCTTCGAAGGAGCGGGAGTCAGGTGTTGCTGCAGCTAACAAATTACTGTCCGAAGAATATGTCCCCAAGAAGAAACCGGAGCCCGAAGCTAGTCAAAGTCAGAGACCCGATCGATACTCGGATGACCCGTTTTATCTAGGTAACGCCGGCTCTTCTTCTAGCAGCAGAACACAGAGTACCAGAACGGAGCGGCGGGACTCGGATGGTCGCCGCGAGTCTGGAGCAGAAAGAGCGGAATCGTTCTCTGCACGTCGTCGTGCTGGCAAGAAGGGAAGCGCTAGATCCAATCGCCGCGCGGGCAAGAAGGACGATGGAAATGCTGATTTGCTTGGCATGGACGCGGGCGCTACTAAGGTGCGTTCGGAGTGTTGCTTGGTGTCGTGCTTTGCGAGCTTTCTCGTTTCTTACATGCTGTTATTCTCTTTTTTATGCACAGTCATCTCCAACGTCGAATGACCTTTTCGATACAGGAAACCTGCTCACTGCTCTGCCTCCTGCCCCCGCACCAGCCCCAGGCTCGAGTGGTGGCGGCAACGCCATGTTTAATGGTACGAGCATGGGCATGAGTGGTGGTGTTCAGGCTGGCGCCTCGACGTACACCAGCCAGAACACGATGGGGATGCAGTCCAATCCGATGGGTCAGCAGCAAGGAATGGTGCCCTACGGTCAGAATATGGGCAACGGAATGATGAACCAGCAGCAGCAGTTAAACCCAGGCATGATGCAGATGACGCCGTACGGAATGCAGCAGCAGGCGCCTCTCAGTGGTGGCGGCTACGGCCAAAACAACATGGGACTTGCTGGTCCAGGTCAGATGCTCCAGATCCAAGCGCCCGGTTACGATCCGTACGCACCCCAGCAGCAGCAAAGCGGAGACAAGTTTAGCGCCTTCGATGGGCTTTAGGCAGCATTTTAATTTTTTTTTGCGCTTGTAGAAGAACCACCGCATAATGTTGTGAATGGTACTGTGTTCCATTAGATCCGTACCACGCGCTTTTAATTAAAGTGACATATCGAATTGGTGATGAAATTTCCTCAAACGTTTCAATTGTTAATTAGAAACAAGTGACGCAATGCGATTGATTTCAAGGGTGCGAGCCAAGAATCCAAACGAAGCAGTCACCAACTCAAAGAGCGTGGCCGTACTTGGCAAGCGTGGGCTTGAGCTCCTTGTTGTCGGTGAACACCTTGGCCTCGGCCTCGACAAGACGCTTCTGCTGGGCAACCTTCTTCTTGTAGAAGGCGTCCGACTTGAGCATACGCTTGGCCTCGAGGCGCTTGACCAACTCGGCGTGACGCCAGCCGACCTCCGAGGCGAGGGCGCCAAGGACGGTGTAGCGGCGGTTGGCCTTAAGGCGAAGCACACGCAGAGCGGCGGGGATGACCATGCGCTTCTGCTTGTCGTACGGCGACGGGATACCATCGAACGTCTGTAATCGAAAGTATGTGAGCCTCGAGTATCAACATAATTAATTTGGATGGTTGCCTTACCTTAAGACGCTGCAGGGCGGCGGCACCGCGAGCCGTCTTGTGCGGCAGCATGCCACGGATCGTGCGCCACAGCATGCGCGACGGGGCACGGTAATGGATGGGGCCCTTCTTGGGGTTGGTGGCCGTACGCTTGTTCAAGAACTGGAAGAACTTGACTTTGTTGCGCACGTCTGTTGTATACGTGGAAGCAAGAGCAGATCACGTCAGTAATCTGTTCTCGAAACCACACAGCCAGACGGCATGACACACCGCTGCTTCCACCACAACAACATCCAGAGATGTCGTGCAGTTCCGCAAGGTGTCTGCACGCAGCGACTTTTGCATGTTTGAGGAGGTTTACAGCGATTGCATCGGGCATTTCCACGTCTGCAGCGACTCTCGCTTGCAGGTCGATCGGTTCTTCATTTCCTTCACCTGGTTCGCTGTGTACGTTTTGGCTCCACGTTCCGCGTCTTCACGCTTTACATCGCAGCAAAATCCAACTCGGAACGCAGCGACGCAGCACCAAAGATTCAGAAAGATGACGCGCAATGCGATCCGCAGGTTCATCGAGTCGTTGCAGACGGCGGACGGAAATTGGAACACACTCGACAAGCAGCACTCCTCGCCACACTCAAAAAATCTCTGCGTAGCTAGACACATTGCTTCACTGCAGGACTCGACGGTCCAGATACCCAAAGACACACACGGAAGCCTATAGGCAAAAAGTGCTGGACGTGTGTGCGCCTGTGACTGTATACTGGACCTGTCTGTCTCTGTCTGACAACCAATACTAAAGCTTAAATACTTACGCGAGCCGGAGATCTCAAGCTGCTCGCAACGCACAGCAACGACGTGCTGGCCCTGCAGGAGCTCCTTAGCAATCAGGGAGGCCAGACGGCCCACCAGGTGGCCACGGCAGTCGACGACGATCGGCTTCTCAAACACCATTTTTGCGTCGAGGTTTCACCGGGGAAGAAAGAGGAAATGGTCCAGCACAGGAAGCTTTGAGGAGGCCTACGAACCACTCGCTATCGTCGGCCAATCGCTGGCGCGCAATGAGTTTCTGCGAATCATAATAGACTTTTAAACGAGGTGGACCACATTTCTGTAAACTCAAAGTATACACAGGTAGTGTATACACCTGTTTGAGCGACGGAATCATGGAGGATGGAGAGCTACCAAGGCACCCGGTCCGCCTGTTCAACGTGAGTGTTTGATTATACAGTCTTGATGGAGCTGCGAAGTTGATCTGAGTGTATGTGACTGCTGCTTTTGTACCTTTTGCGCTTGAAGTGGGGAAATGCCGACGCTGAAATCGTGACGGAGCCCAAAAGCGTGGCGATGGCGGCGGCATTCAAGAAAAAGTCCTTGCAGAAGTGGGAGGAAGCCAAGAAATTGCGCGGCGATCCGGTGCTCCACGATCTAAAGCGAGCTACACAACAGGCCAAGCGAAAACTCAGCTCGTCGGGCGGTTCGAGCAGCCTCAGCAGTTCGATCGGGCCGGACTCCGAGTCGCAGACGGTATTTCGGCAGCGCTCGCAACAGTCATGGCGCAAGCAGCATCAAGAATTGGTGGACGAAGCTGGACGCATTAGTGACGGCAACACTTTTGCGCGTGGGAAGGACAGCGTCTCAGAAACCAGCCTCATTGACAAGCTGCTTCAGAAAGGTTACGGACTGGGCTCCAACCAGACTAACACGAATGCAGATGTAGATGCAACGCAGTCGAGTGCAACCACCGGGAGTTTTGAAAGAGCAGCAAAAGAGCGCGAGTCATCATTGACTCAAGAATCTTTCAGGGACCGGCTGGTGAAGTTTTACACCAAGTACAATCCAACCAAGCTAAATTCAGTAGATCGCACACTGGAGACGTACAGCGGTCGAGAAGACGAACTGTTTCGGAAGCTGCACGAGCGTTATGTGTCCGTCACTAGCTTGAAAGAACGCAAGAAGAAGTTCATCACGAAGACGACTGACCCCACTGTCTACATGGACATCTCAATCACTGGAGCTCCAGCAGGCAGGATCGTCATGCGTCTGCTCAAGAACGAAATTCCGCTCGCAGCGGAAAACTTTCGCTGCCTATGCACAGGCGAAAAGGTAAGTTATAACTGCTGCAGTCTATGTGATTGGTGGTGCCAACCGTAATGCTCTGTATGTAGGGGGGAATTCTTACATTCAAGGGGTGCAAGTTTCACCGCATCATCAAAAACTTTGTTGTCCAAGGCGGAGGTAACTCGTTGATAGCACTTTATTATCTTGAATGTACTGACGCTTGAGCTGTGGCCGTGCACAGACTTCACCACCGGGGACGGAACGGGTGGGCAGAGCATCTACCGCGGCACTCTACATGGTGATCTCTGGGGTAACTTTAAGGATGAAAAGTTCTTGCCCCATGATGACGTGGGACTGTTGTCTATGGCGAATGCTGGCAAGAACACAAACGGCTCACAGGTACACTAAATTTATTCATGGTTTGTGGTCCGAGATTGCTAAAGTAATTCCTTCGTTGCCCGACCATGTGCAGTTCTTCATCACGACGAAGGCAGGTCTCAATAATCTCGATGGGAAGCACGTCGTGTTCGGTGAGGTCATCGATGGATTCGACGTCGTGGATGCGATGCAAAGTGTGAAGGTGAGCAATGGCAATGATCGCCCTCTTCCGGAGAATGAAGTCGAAATTGTGGATTGTGGCGAGCTGTAAAGCAGTACAAAAGTGAAAAAAAAGGTTTTGTCATTTTAGAAAAGCAAATGTGCTAGATCCTTTTTCACCACAATTCTGTCCTTCCCGCTACCGCTTGTGTGGGTGTTTAGGCGGGTTTCATTGACGAGTGCGCCGCCTACTCGTACCCGAGATTTGTGGAAACCACTGGAAAGCTCAGCTCGCTTCTTAGAGGACGATCGCACGCATACTGACGATGGTTGACGGATTTTACCGTCGTTCGCTGCAGCTCGTAGCGAGTTGCAATCAGCTTTCTCGCTAGTAGCACGTACTGTGCTGAGGTCATCGGCAGCTTTTCGATCCTGAGATTGCTCAACTTTGAGGTCATCTTCGCGCACAGACATAGCCGAGTTACTGACAGTTGACAATCGTCGATCGAGCTTCTCCAAAGATCGAAGCAGGCGCTGTTCTTCTGCGGTGATAGAGCCGATTTCTTCAGAAGCTCCGTCAGAACTGCTCGTTTTTTCTTTCTTGGCAGTGGCCCGGTCACGAGTAGGAGACTTTGTAGAGTGCAGTAATGTCTCTTTCTTTGATGCCTCTGAAGGGGCTGACCGATCTCCAGACGATGGTGTTTTGTGCTGCCACCTGTTAGTCGGGGCGTGGGAGCTCACTGCCGACATTGGTGTTTCTAAATATCCCCCTGTGGTAATAGCTCGTTGTCCCTGTAGCTGTCGACGCTTTTGTACAAGCTTCGGTATCCTCGACGGTTTGCAGATGGCAGTGTGTTCTGGCAGTGCATAAGAGAATGCCTGATCGTTGTTGCGTCGCTGTATAAGCCTTCGTGTAGCATCTTCGCCTGGTAATTTGGAATATGTTGCTTGTAAAATAGAGGAGTAGGTACGCATTGTTTCAGCTTCAAGGAGGGATCTTCTCGACGTCGCCACCGACATGGACAGCTCAAGGCTGTCTGTTACTCTAAGCTTCCGTGCTCTCCCTCGGCTTTTACTTATCTGCAGGTTAATCGCTTTATCATCGTCACTCGGCAGTGAGTTGGTGCTGCTAGACTGATAGCCATCGTCGCTGTCAGCTTCCGACCCGCCACTCGATACATCAGCTGGCGCCAATTCAAATCCACGAGTGGTTTCTCGCTCTGATAATTGCTGCTTCTCCAAGTCCGCGTTCTTTCGAACCAGCCACTTTCCCCTCCTGGCCTTCATGGCCTCCAGCCGTGCCGTCACACTCTCCAAGTCGTAGTCTTCCGCTGTGGTGCTGTGCTGCATTGGTCTCAACACTTAAATGACGGTGCCTTTTCGCCTTCACTTCAACATGAAGCAATCAGGGCTAAAGGGGTGCACAGTTTTGATCAGTCACGTAACAAGAAAAATCTTTTGGTTTCCTTTTTTCAGCCAATCCCAGCAATCTATTCGCTGGCTAATGTTGCGCAAACGCTTGCGCAACCATGTTTAGGTTGCGCCTGCACCACCAGCATCAGCAGCTCACAACTTCATCGTCGCCTCACTCTTCGATCCGACCGCTCGCTGCACCAAGACCGCAAGATGCTGAGCAAGACAATGCAGCGCTCGGGTTCTTCTTCACCGATCCGCAAAACGCTGCTGCAGCGCGCCTTCGCCACTTCCGGAGGCGATGGCCCCAAGGCCGCCGACGGCGTGCGCATCAACCGCTACAGCGCCACCGTCACGCAGCCCAAGGCGCGCGGCGCCTCGCAGGCCATGCTGTACGCCACCGGCATGACAGAGGAAGACATGGACAAACCCCAGGTGGGTATCGCCTCCATGTGGTGGGAGGGAAACCCGTGCAACATGCACCTGTTGGATCTGGCCGGCGAGGTGAAGAACGGTGTGAACGCCGCTGGCCTCGTGGGTCTGCGTTTCAACACCATCGGTGTGAGCGATGGTATCAGTATGGGCACAGACGGTATGAGCTACAGTCTGCAGTCGCGAGACTTGATTGCCGACTCGATCGAGACGGTCATGGGCGGTCAATGGTACGACGCGAACATTTGCATCCCTGGTTGCGACAAGAATATGCCTGGGTGTGTGATCGCCATGGCGCGTGTGAACCGTCCATCTCTGATGGTGTACGGTGGCACGATCCGTGCTGGTTGCAGCTCTAAGGGCGAGACCTTGGACGTCGTCTCGGCCTTCCAGGCGTACGGCGAGTACATTGCCGGACGTATCACAGAGGAGGAGCGTCATGATATCATCCGTCACGCCTGCCCTGGTGCTGGTGCCTGCGGTGGCATGTACACTGCCAACACGATGGCTACAGCCATCGAGACGCTGGGTCTGAGTCTGCCGTTCTCGTCCAGCTTCCCGGCTGACTCGCCCGAGAAACAGAACGAGTGCCTCCAAGCCGGTGAGGCGATCAAGGTGCTTCTGGAAAAGGATATCAAGCCACTTGACATCTTGAGCCGAGAAGCCTTCGAGAACGCCATCACGGTTACCATGGCTCTAGGTGGCTCCACCAACGCTGTGCTCCACTTGATCGCTATTGCTCGTGCTGCGAACATCCCGCTGTCTATTAACGACTTTGAGAGGATCAGTGAGCGCGTGCCTTTCTTGGCCGACCTCAAGCCCAGTGGTAAGTTCGTGATGGAGGACATCCACCGCGTGGGTGGCACGCCTGCCGTGCTGAAGTACCTGATGACCCAGGGCTACATTAACGGCGACTGCCTCACTGTGACGGGCAAGACACTGGCGGAGAACCTTGAGAAGGTGGCTGACCTCTCTGACAACCACGAGATTATTCACCCTGTGGACCGCCCGCTCAAGTCTAGCGGCCACCTGCGTATCCTGCGTGGTGACCTGGCTCCGGAGGGCTCGGTTGCCAAAATTACCGGTAAGGAGGGGCTTGTCTTCACTGGTACGGCTAAGGTGTACGACTGCGAAGAAGATATGATGGCTGGTCTGGAGAAGGGCGAGATCACGAAGGGAAGCGTCGTTATTATCCGATACGAAGGCCCCAAGGGTGGCCCTGGCATGCCGGAGATGCGTAAGTGTTTTGCGTCTTCTTGTCTGACGCTTGAGTTGTCTAGATTCTGACACGATGCCCTTCGTTTTGATGTTTCAGTTGCTCCTACGTCGGCGATCATGGGAGCTGGCCTCGGCAAGGACGTTGCCATGCTCACGGACGGCCGCTTCTCCGGTGGTTCGCATGGTTTCATCATCGGTCACATCACTCCTGAGGCTCAGGTTGGTGGCCCCATTGCTCTAGTGAAGAACGGTGACAAGATCACGGTCGACGCCGAGCAGAATCGCATCGATCTGATAAACGTGACGGCCGAGGAGCTGGCTCAGCGTAAGAAGGAGTGGGTTGCTCCTCCGCTCAAGGCCACTCGCGGTACTCTGTACAAGTTCATCAAGAACGTCAAGTCTGCTTCGGAGGGCTGCGTCACCGACGAGTAAATGCCGTTCTGCAGCGCGTCGGATCGCAAGACTGGCCTGTGGAATAGTTGAAACGTCAGGAAATATATAGAAACTCAACATTAATTCCGAACCTTCCTTATACCGGTAGTACTACGTAGTACTTGACAATTGTGCTTCTTAAAATTTTGCACTCATAATAAAGTCGCGCACCGGGGAAGAGATCAAATTTGATTACGGCTCAGAATCTGTAAGAGAAACAGAAAAAAATACACACTAATGCAAAAAAGTACATAAAGTGCCTGAATACACATAAAATATATAAATGGCGCACAAGCGATTGGGAAGAACACACATCATTGTGTCTTCATGGAGATCGTAACCTGACTTGCATACAGAGGAAGCTGAATTGCGGACATTGTATTTTAGCCAATCTCATGGGCGTTTGACAGGGTTTTTATCCTATCGCAGATGCGCACATCGCAATTCCCCCGAGTCAGAGCTGCCGAGGATATCTGGCGCCTTCGTGGTGGAGCTCCCAGGGCGACCGACAGGTACGGCTTGCCTCAATCACGGTCTGCTATGACGCTGCAGTGGACTTTAGTACGCGATTTTGTGGACGCCACTACCGCAGAAGCTGCGCTTGCAGGGTTTAAGCAGTACAAGAAGGGAACCAGTCATACCGCCCCCGCAACAATATGTACTGTGGCACCCCCCCCCACACGAAATGCGCTACCAACTTTTGAGCTGCTCATTCTCAAAATGCGAAACTAGTGGTCAACAGGCAAACTGTCAGTGGCGTGGGCGTGTCATGGAGTGCGACAATACACGGAAGTTCACCATTAACGAGTGTGGGGAACACAACAGATACCAAGAAAAACAAGTTGACAGAAGCGCATAAGACTTACATCAGAGAGATGGCTGCGCAAGGACTGCGACCAGGTCGTATTCGAAACGCGATGCCTCGAAAGTTTAACGTTCGTATGGATGATCTGCCAGAGTTGAAGGTCGTGCAAAATTTCTCGAACTACTTTCGCAAGACCAAAATGATGAGCAATGATTTTGTGGACGAGCTCACTGAGTACATACGTGGGTTGGAGTTTAACGGAACTGAGGAGGATAGCGCATCTTTCACTATTAGTTGTCAAAAGGATGATGCTGGCCATATCGAAGTTGGAACAGGATCTGACGAAAAACCTTTCGTGGTTGGTGTGACTTCAAAAAGGCTTCTATCTAGATTGGATCGCCCGGTGGATTCATTTGTTTTTCACGTGGATGCTACATTTAAGATGGCTCAAGTGGAATACCCAGTACTGGTTTGTGGAATGTCAGATCGATGTCGTTCATTTCACCTAGTGGCGTTGTTCGTAACTTCTCAACGTTTGGAGCCCCAATTCACGGACATGCTAAATGCACTGCGTTCGGTGTACTTCCGTGTTATGCAAAAGCCTTTAAAAGTGCGCTACGTGATGAGAGATGCCGAAGAAGCGCAATACAATGCTATACAAACCACATTTGGTTATGACAACGTTTTGAAGGTATCCATGTGCTTCTATGGAGCGTGAAGGGCAGCCACAATGGGGTTGGGAGGTGGATCTTACTCGACGCAGCTGCCCATGCAATTACTTCTTTAAGTTCGTGTGTTGCATACATCTTCTTCGCGCATTGAAAGTCTCTGGCGCTGCTGAACCGGTTGGAAAAGCTAGTCTACCGAGGCACGTCTAAGAAACGGCAACGGGAAACCCAAACAACTGAACCCCATGTACCTGTGGGAAGACCTCGCACCAACGGTTTTGCTCTTGATATGGAGTAGAAGTGTTGTTCGGCCTTGCTCACAGTGAAAAGGACTGATAGTGCCGTGAAAGGTGCTCTACCCAACGCTTCATACGTCAGAGTAACCTCTCAATACACGGGTTTTCTTTTTAAAGCTTCTCAGATTGCAGGTTGAAGTAAAATGGTTCGGTGCTGCATCCCCTGTCAAACCAAGCCGCCGAGCTTAGCACCAGAACATGAAAACGATTTATTTGCAATAAAGATTTTTTTTTAGGCGCTACTCATGGTCAATTCGTGCTTCCATCCTACTTTAATGGCACCTACGACATTGCAACACGGTGATCTTGAGCCCGGATACACGGCTTTTTGTCCTAGCCACGGCAGTTGGCAGCACCACACACGCAGTCGAACCACGGGTCCACGTAGTCGACAGTCACCTCTTCTCCCTCTTCAATCGTGCGCTTGGTCACCACCACCACGGCCACGTTTTCGCGGTTGCGTAGCTCCACAAAGTGGCACGGTGCGTCGCACGAGTGGTTCAGCATTCGCGTTATACCACCACAGCTCGTCGCATCAATGTAGACTTTCTTGCCTCGAGTGCTCTTGAGCCGAAGCTCCAGCGCGTAGTCGCAGGTCTGCTCTTCATCTGCTGCGAAGTTATGCGTAATCAGAACCCCGGTGTAGTTGCCGATGATGGACCCTGCGTGGATAGTAGCTGTAGCTTTAACGCCGATTCCAGTTCCCTTGCACACCGTTAGCTCCAAATCCTTGCACTCGTACAGACTGTTTAAGCAATTTCCTTCGCGGTTGCAGTTGGCAGCCGTGCAGTAGAAACTGGTGTCGGCATTAAGACAATCGTCTCTGAAGCAGTCATAAGCGCACTTGCACTTATCTGTAGGACCCGTGTCTGGTAATTTTATCTTCTCTGGGTTTCGAGACACACTCACCTTGTCCACACCCATCGACCAGAGGTCATCGCCGTCGTCGTCAATAACGATTACCTCGGGTTTACGAGGAGCCGCTTCATGACGAAGCACAGCATTGCGCCGCGCAGACAGCGCCTCACGAACTCCTGGCAGCCGCAGAAAGCTATTCATGTACATCGCCTTCATTTTGCCGACAATGTACACTTTGGTGGAGGTGCGGACGGGATTTTTGTGCCCCCTGTAGCGCAGCTTTCGCGAGCTTGTCTTCCAGGGATTGTTCTTCATGCGTTTCTTCTTGTCCTCCCGCTCCTTGTACGTCTGGACGCCCTTGGCCGTCGCGGTAGCCTCCGCTGCAAGCTCCTTCTTCACAGTCGCGTTCATGCCTACCTCGCGACCCTGTTCTTGGCTGCATCCCGCAGCCTTGTGCCCTGCCGTCTTCCCCATGATGCTTCCTCTCCTCGACTGCCGCGAATTTTCAAATGGGCCCTTTAACCTAGCATATGTCATTGCCGTAGGCTCTGACTCAGAACCACCCACACCAACCCCTATCATCACTGCGCGGATGTGCCACAGCGGACAAACTCCATTTTGTCCGAAATTCAGACTTGGCTGTCCATTTTTTATATTTTCTCAATCTGTAACGCGACAGCTACCTTTTTTTTTTATACTAAATACGAGTGTGCAGCTCGTTTTGTATTTTTTTTGCGTTTAGAGACAAATCATGAATCGTGTACATCGAGGTCTCGATTACGAAAGCATGGTCTACCCGATTACCCGCTTACAATTTTCATTTTTTAATTACTATTTCAAAGAAATACTCTTTCGCTTTTGCTCTTCTTCTTCCGTCACCGTTCAGGGAATAACGCGATGAGGTGCGAAGCCTCGATACCCTCCCCCCATCCGCATTGCGGAATTTTATAGATTTTCAAAAACGAAAGAGGAATGCTTATGATGTCACCGGCCCGTTAGGTGTTTGTCCTCTCTGTATGTGGCGGGCCCTATTTGGGTATCCGCTAGCTGTATGTGTAGCTGTTGCTCACAAAGTAAATGTACTCCAACACTCATAATCCATTAGACGACAACCATGATTTGGGCAACATTTTAGATCTAAAATTTACCAAATTTTATGTCTATTCTTACAGTTTGAAATAAAAATGGTAAATTGAAATTAATTATCGTTCGAAGATTTGGAGCAGCAACTGTCAGAAAAAGGGTTAAAGCCGACCTTAAAAATATGTTCCGTGGAACCTTTGTTATTCTATTGGAGCTAAGTATTGGGTAACCTTATCCGTCATTTGCTCAGATTTTATCCAGAAAAATGTTGTTCCAAAAGTCGTATCTCAAGAGGTGCCCGTTTGGACCACCAAAATGGGATCCGGATCGGCAGTGACATCATGCAGACGCCGGACTCCGCAAGACCGCAAGATGCTGAGCAAGACAATGCAGCGCTCGGGTTCTTCTTCACCGATCCGTAAAACGTTGCTGCAGCGCGCCTTCGCTACTTCCGGAGGTGATGCCCCAAAGCCGCCGACGGTGTGCGCATTAACCACTACAGCGCCACTTTCACGCAGCCCAAGGCGCGCGGTGCCTCGCAAGTCATGCTGTACGTCACTGGCATGACAGAGGAAGACATGGACAAACCCCAGGTGGGTATCGCCTCCATATGGTGGGAGGGAAACCCGTGCAACATGCACCTGTTGGATCTGGCCGGCGAGGTGAAGGACGGTGTGAACGCCGCTGGCAGGGGTTAACAGAATTCTCGAAAATAGTAATCTTTGGTAATACTAATACTACTACTATTTAAGTATTACTACTATTAATACCCCTATGTACAATATTCACTATGAATATTAGTATTGCTTACTTGAGGCGTTACCATAGTACTTTCAGACTACTACTTTCAAAGGATCCGGAACTGAGTGGCTCTCGTCCCTCATTGCAGGGAGATCGTCATTCTCCCTTTTGAAACAAAACTGTCAGACTGCTTGTGAGCATGGGCTGTGCTGTAAAAGGCTGCAAAGAAGACAATGGGCTTAAGACGGACCCGTGCAGCGTGTGTGGGAAGCCCACACACCACATGTGTGCTATTGGAGTTTTCGAGGGCTCTGACTCGGCGCTGAATGAGAGGTAGCGGTCTTGATTTCATCTGGATTGTATTGATCATACCCCTACTAACACTACATTACAGATTTTGCAGTCAGACTTGTGTTAAAGTCACCCACCCAAGTGTGAACAATCCCGTCCACACTCAATCGACGATTGGTAAGCGTCCTGCACGCCCCAGGATTGCCTCTAAAGCCCATTCAGCTAGCATTTGGGAAGGATCTGACTCCGACTTCGTCCTTTCCCCAGACCCACCTTCAAAGGGCGACGATTCTTCTAGTGAGCATCCTGTCAAGCGTCGTAAGACTACTACGACAGCAACTTCAACGGTTGCTAAGATGAAATCCGCGAAGGTTATTTCGACTACCCAGCTGAAAGCTGATAGCCACCTCTCGACGCCACTAGACTGCTCTCCAGCTGGTCCATTATCCAAGCTTGGTATTCCACTTTCGGTCCGACACTCCAGAAAAGCAGGTACTACAGATGAAGTATGGGATCTAATTCACACGTTGGATGTTCCATACAAGAAGCAGAACCCCTGAAAACCGTCCGTCGGAGTGTACCGCAATATTTGCCTACTGTGCTGCCAAGATATTAAAGGTCGTGTCAAAACAAACCGCTACTCTTGGGAAGCGGCGCTCCGCAATACCAAGAACTCTAGCAACGCGAAAGACCACATCAAGGCTAGGCATGGAGACCACCCGTTGGCAATACATGCCGAGCAGACAGCGACAGAAAAGTCGAAAGCAGATATCGCGGCCGCTGAAGCAGAGTCACAAGCGGTGTTAGATCTAACTGGGGACGCCGAAGGTGGATCTATCACTTCTACGATAGACGGTACTGCTTCTAATGGAGGAACAGGGACAAATGTGGCTCAAAAGCGGTTCTTTCGGGCAAATGAGAAGACGCTGAACGTTCTCATTTCCAAGTGGCTAGTCAGTCAAGATCTTTCGTACACAGTGTGTGCTTCAAAACCCTTTCACGACGTCATAAGTTCTGCTACTGGTAATCCCTCCTACCCGATTTTGAGCCGTGAAAGACATGACCGACTACTCAACGGCCAGTTCCAGTTGTTTTGCGACCTTGTTGGTGATTTCGTGAATGCTGAGTTCGAGAAAGCCTGTCGACTTAAGTTCTTAAACCTGATACATGACATTTGGACGAGCAGTGGGAAGGATAGTATCGTCGGTGCATCACTAGCATTTATCGACAGTTTGTGGAGGTTTCGGTTTATTGCTGTGCTGGCAACTGTAAAGAACGATGGCCACAAGGCTCCTGCGGTGGCCAAAGTCATCGAACGTGGTTTGTAGTCTAAGTACGATCTGGATATTCGTGTCATGACTCGATTTACGATGTCCGATACTACTCCATCCGCAAAAAAACGTTGCTGATCATATTGACACGGAGCAGGAAGACTGTACCATGCATCTACTGAATCGGTGCATTGGATACGGGATCGGTCTTAAAGACAATATCCAAACAACCACAGTCTGGAACGACACTACAGACTCATGGGATAAAGTAGTCAAGACGGTCACACCAGGAGGCGCTTTTGATGAAGGCGGAGCTGTGATTCAAAAACTGCGGGACTTAAACAACCATTTCAAGTCTTCAAAGCAGCGCGGTGCATTAAAGAAAATCCAGGAAGCTCTGTCCTATCCGGAGCTCGATCCAATGACAGACAAGGATGTACGTGTCGCCTACACTTGCAAAGTTATTCGTCGATCAGTGGTCAACTACTCAGCCTACGAAGCCATCTTCCAGTCCACGAAAGATTCGACGAGCGTGTGGACGGCGCTTTCTTCGATGGACTGGTTGCTTGCAGTTGAGATGGAGGCAGTTACCAGTTTTGTAGCTCGTCTTGCATTGGTAGAAGCTCAAAGTGAGAATCTGGTCTCGTCATACATGGGTTTTTTTCGCCGCCTCGCTGAAAAGAAGCTCAAGTCATATAAATTCGATGCTATGGCCATAGAACCATCCCGCGCGAAAGAAGCAAACGAAGATAGTCACCGACGGTATGTAAAGACGCAGGCTCAATTCTTCGGTCCTGGAAAAACATGCCTGCGACGTACACTGCTTCAACTGCAGGCACGCTTCCCCAGAGTCACGAAAGAGGCGATGCTGTGCGTTTTGTTAGACCCGCGGACGAAATCGAGCGCAAAGAAACTGGCCGCCGACAGTAGCATTCCGCGCAAGGAAGAGAAGGCGGTTTACAAAGATAGCTACGACTTCTTGCGAGATGAGCACCGGCAAGTATTCGCGCAGATGTCTAAGCAAGGCAAAATTCCAATGTCGCAACAGGCTTCGTCTCAAAGCAGTATGTTCAGTCAGGAATCAACGTCACCATCATCCTCGCCGTCATCTACGGGCTGGGATGACGAAGACGAGCTTCTACTTGGAGCTCCGATACGGGCCCGCAAGACCAGGGAGGAGGTGAAAGAGTCTGAAGTAAATGCGAGAGTAGACGCAGTCGTGAAAGATTGGCTTGAACTCGAACCCGAGTGGCTAGAGGTTGCACAACAGCAGAACCCTGACATGTCGAAAGAAGACCTGTCTAAAGACATGACGACAGATTCGCACAACGGAATGTGCTGGGCACTGCTCGGTCTGTACAAACACGTGGACGTTTTAAGGTGGTTTCGTGAAGAAGGAGAGTTCCTGTTTCCCTCAATTGCGCTGCTTGTGCGCATTCATCTCGGGAAAGTCTCCTCGTCAGCGTTCCAGGAGAGGTTGTTTTCAACTGGAGGAAAAGTAATGGGGCCTCTTCGAACCCGGACGGACAGCAGACGAGCGGAAAAGCAGCTACTTCTCCGTCACAATCGAGAGGAGATCACGAACTTGAAGCACGATGCTCGCAACGCTATCGAGCCCAAAGTAGTACTTTGAGTAGTATACTAGTATTACTAATACTACTACCGCTTCGAAAAATCGCTACTAGTTTAAGTATTACCGCCTTCGAGGAGCCCAGGTAGTACCAGTAATACTAATACCGGGTTTTGGAGGGTACTATTAACCCCTGGCCGCTGGCCTCGTGGGTCTGCGTTTCAACCTTATCGGTGTGAGCGATGGTATCAGTATGGGCACAGACGGTATGAGCAGTCGCGAGACTTGATTGCCGACTCGATCGAGACGGTCATGAGCGGTCAATGGTGCGACGCAAACCATTTGCATCCCTAGTTGCAATAAGAACATGCCTGGGTGTGTGATCGCCATGGCTCGTGTGAACCGTCCTATTAGTAGATGTGAGGAAACCGTCGTATATTGAGAAGTGAGAGGAAGCTAACTACGTTCTACTCGTACCTTGCTTCTTCCTCTGGCCATTCATCCTCACACCTTATTCCGCAGTAGTCCCATCCGGAGAGCGGGCGGGCGAAATACCACTATACCGTAACCGTGGTTACACTCGGTTACAGATCTTCTTCTAACACTCCTCCTCGCTCGTCGCGCTCGCCAGCTACTACTCCAACGTGAAAATCCTCCGAAGCTCGTCCAATCTGGCTGCTGGAAGCGCCTTCGTGAGAAGGTCGGCCCTCATTAGTCGTGACTCCACATATCCTGGTTTGAACACACCTCGCCGTGCAAAATCGCAGATGAACTTGACTCGGATGTCTACGTGCTTTGCACTGGACATACTGTCTTCGGTCTCTAGCTGCCTGATGGCGGCCTGGTTGTCCATATACATGGTCATTGGCTCTACCACCGCAAACTCCAGCTCCCTAACGAGCTCTCGCAGTCCAAGCAGCTCACGTCCGACATTTGATGCTGACGTAAATTCTGCTTCCATCGTGGATAGAGACACTCCAGTCTGTTTCTTACATATCCACTGCACGATGGCCCCGTCGAGAGTGATCACTCCGCCAGTCACCGACTTCCTGTCGGCCTTATCCGCCGCGAAATCCGCATCACTCCAGCTTTCCAGACAGATCCGTCTTCCACTGGCTGCGTCTACTCGCATTTTGAGCTTTAGTTCCTTTGTCTGCTTCAAGTACCTAGCGATCCGCTTCGCGAGCTTCCAGTCGCTTACAGTAGGCTGATGGGTGCGTCTCGTGGTTTTGTGGACCGCAAAGCTAATGTCTGGTCTCGTACAGCGAGCTATCCATAGCAGGCTGCCGACGAGAGACTGGAAACTTCGTACGGTTGGCTCTCCGCGCCCTCCTGACTGCATCAACAGCTGCGGTGCTTCTTGTTCGGCTTCGTTACATTCTTCTCCGATTGGTGCGCGTACTCCGTTTGCGTCCGCGAGCTCGTACTGCTCCAGTAGCTCTTCAATCGCAGCTTGCTGATCCCACAAGTAACCGTCCGAATCATGAAGCTCTACACGCATGCCCAAGAACTTTCGTACCACACCGAGATCCTTAATGGATAAAACACTCATCGCTTGAAAAAAATCTTCGACTAGCTCTGGTTTGGAGGCCGTCACTAGGAGGTCATCCACATACACTCCTACCAGAGTCATGTCGCTGCCGTGCTTCTTGTAGTACAAGCACATGTCGGTAACGCACCTAGTGAAACCGATCTCTTCCAACTTAGCGTGTAGTAGCTTGCTCCACAAGCGCCCCGCTTGCTTCAAACCATACAGCGACTTCTTGAGCCGCAGCACCAACTTGCTGCTGGTGTCCACGCCGAGAGCGCGTAGCACCGCCTCAGATATTTGCATGCCCTTTAGTATAGCCAGATAAATCTCCAAATGTTGCTCTTTGTCCGCCTTGACGTACGCGTTTGGGATGTCCCCGTGTCGGGCAGGCACACGCCAGCGCCGAGCAAACACCAGCACTATCTTTACGGTGCTCAGCTCCATTACCGCCGCAAACGTGAGGTTGTTATCAATGCCAAAGAGCTGTTCGTTTCCACAAGCAACCAACCGAGCTTTGAACCGCTCGATGGCGCCGTCGGCGTCCGTCTTGGTCTTAAAGACCCATTTAGTGTGCAGTACGTGGCTGCCAGTTGGCGGCACCTCGACTGTCCACACTCCGTTCTCTTCAAGAGCTCGCAGCCCTTCTACCATAGCAATTACCCACGCGTCCTTGAGTACGCTCTTCATTGCTTGTCCATAGTTCTTGGGGTCCGCCTCACGCACGCTATTTACCACGTCGTGTATTGCCCCATCCTGACTATCATCGTCACTAGTCGTCCCTGCTGCAGCAGCCTTTTGAGTAGTCGACCTCGTCCGATGCCTTTCCCGTGTCCAACCGCCCTTGGACTTCCTTTTGGTTTTCTTTTTCCCTTTCGATCCCGCTCCCGTACTGGCAGCATTCGCATTGCGGTCTTCCTCTTTTGTCTCTTCCGACTCCTCGAGGTGTACGCGCCTCAGCTGCTCGTTCTGTACGTCCGTGAGCGTCTCCACATTCCGTACGTGCTGGGTCACCACGACCACTTTGTCCTTAGGGATGTAGACTCTATACCCCTGCATCTCATCGCTTTTACCAACGATTATCGCAGCTTTACCGCGTTCTCCTAGCGACTTGTTCTTGGCGTCTGTGTGTACCGTGCACGGAGACCCAAACACCACGATGTCGCTGAGGTCGAGGGTGCTCTTCGTGAGCATCTGCATCGGCGACTTGGACCCGGGGTTTGCCTTACTCGGGCTCCTATTCAGTATGTACGCCGCGTACTCTGCAGCGTCTCCCCAGAAGCTGAGTGGCAGACCACACGCGAACATCATGCTTCTCACCATGTTCATATTGGTGCGGTGCATTCGTTCTGCTTTTCCGTTGCTGGCTTGATTCCTGGGCTCGCTTACTTGCCGCGCAATGCCGGTTTCTTTATAAAACAAATCTAGAGTCTGGTATTCACCTCCTCCATCCGTCCGCAGCACATGGATACGACAGTTAAACTGGCGCTCAAAGAACGCCATGAAGTGTTTAAACTTCTGAGCAGCAACGTCCTTCGTCCGTGCCAAGAAGATTCTGCAATAGTTCGTCCTGTGATCGACGAAGTTCACCATGTACCTGTTGCCGAGTCTGTCTCTTGGCGTCATTGGTCCCTTGAGATCTGAGCATATAACACCGCCAAATGACGTCGATAGGTGCGTTGGCTCCTGTCTCCTTCCTGGACTGTTTTTCTTCGTTTGCTTTCCTTGTGCGCAGGCCAAGCAGTTCGCTCGCTTCTCATCCGTGAGAAAGATTCCAGACGCAGGATTCTTGGCCATCTTGAGGATAGTATCGTAGTTGAGATGTCCTAGGCGGCGGTGAAAGTGCATCAGCGTGCCCCTCTGTACGTCTTGTCCTACCTCCTCATTCTGTTCGCTTGGCGCCAGTACCGACATGAGTACGTCGCCGGCGCTTCTTTCACGCCCCTGTACTTGCGCGCGCACCACCAACACGTTGTTGACTTTCTCTACGTCGAACACTGCTGGTCCTCCAGTCATTGCAGCAACTACACGATGTTGTCCTCGGTAGTCAATCTTGTAGCCTTTCTTCTCTAGCATTCCGTAGGAGATAATGTTCTGCTCCAAGTTCTCTGCGTACTGAACATCCAGTAGTCGCACCGTAGTTTTCTTTCCCATAGCCATGGTTTCCAGCACTATGCTGCCACGCTTGGTTACCCTCAGAGCTCCTCCGTCGGCAGCAACACACTCGCTCTCGAAGTCCTCTGGGTCTTCAAGCAAGTCCTCGTCGTTAGCGAGGTGCCGACTTGATCCAGTGTCGAGGATCCATACACCTTTTTCATTGACTGAGTTATCCACTGCCAGGACAAATTCCGCTCTGGCGCCTCGCTCAGTCCCTCCTCGTTTGTTGTTCGGGCACAATGCCTTTAAGTGCCCAACCTTTCCGCATTTAAAACACTTCATGTCGTCTATGCGATCATCGTGTACGTTGCTCACAACGTCACGTCCCAGGTTCTTACCTCGTAGCTCGATCTCCGTGGACTGTGCAAAGTGGAACAGCTCCTCCGCTTGCCGCAGGTAATCCGTCCGGCCAAGGTTCAGTCTGGACAGCATCGACACTCTCATCGACGCGTCCGCGTAGTGGACGATGTTGTCCAAGACGAGGTTGTCGGCGCCTCCACACGCCTCACTCACAGCCACCAGGTAGAGATAGTGTTCAGTCCAGCTGCGCTTGGAGCTCTTTGGCGCTGTAAACATCTTCATGCTCTGGGCGGGCGTTATCTTGGTCGCGAACGTGTGCAGCAACCGCTGCATGGCGTGCTCCAACGTCGGCTCCTCTTCCCACCACCCCTCAACCTGCTGGTTGTAGTATCTCTCAGCCATGCCGGTAAGGTGATGACCGAGGACATCCACCTTTACTTCCTCTGTCCACGTGAAGCCACTTGCGCGTTCCGCAAATAGTATCTGACGCACGAACCGTTTGCCCCAAGACAGAAAACCACTGCCGAGGCCTTGATACAGCTCCTTGCCGTCGAAGTGACGGATGCCAAGCTTCCGTTGGCGCGTATCCAACACACGAGGAAAACCCTGAGCTGGAGCCGGCATGCCGTACGGCATGGTTGGCGGCTGAACGTGCGCCTGGTACATGCGCGGGGGCACGTAATGCTGTGGCAGCGCTGGCTGAGGAGCTTGTGCCATCTCCACGTTAGCTGCTGCGTTCTTGAACCCGTAGCCGCGCTGCTTCACACCGAAGTACGTGGCTGGAGACATTGCCGGGGAATTCCTTGTTGGCGTCCTATCCAGTGCTTCTCGGTCCATGGCCCTTCCTAGGCCTATGGCCGACTCGAATACACTTGACTCCCTTCCAGCGATTCGCTGCTGCTCCTCCTGTCGCTTCTGCGACTCCTCTAGGGCTCCATGCGCTCTGTGAGGCCAGTGAGGAGATCCACCAGCTTCTGCTGTGGGTCCCTCGTCTCCTTGACTTCGTCGTCGCCTCCGTACTTGCTGCTGTCGGTCCTTCCGCGACCGACATCTGCGTCCGGATGCCCGCGGGTTGACTCCGCGGCGACAGTATCGTTGCTTGGGCTCATAACCTATTAGTCGATGTGAGGAAACCGTCGTATATTGAGAAGTGAGAGGAAGCTAACTACGTTCTACTCGTACCTTGCTTCTTCCTCTGGCCATTCATCCTCACACCTTATTCCGCAGTAGTCCCATCCGGAGAGCGGGCGGGCGAAATGCCACTATACCGTAACCGTGGTTACACTCGGTTACAGATCTTCTTCTAACACGTCCATCTTTGACGTGCTGGGTGCAGCTCTAAGGGACAAACGGTCAACTATGTCTCAGCTTCGGAAGCTTACGGAGCCTACCTCCAACAAGACCACAAAGGAGAGCGCCACGATATCATTCGCTACGCCTGTCCTGGTGCTGTCGCTTGTGGCTCTATGTATACCGCTAATATCATGGCTACGGCCATTGAGACCACGGGTCTCATTCCGCTGAGAAGCAGGATGGATGTGTACGAGCTGGTGAGGTCATTAAACTGCTGGTAGAAAAGAACATCAAACCACTTGATATTCTGTGCCGTGAGTCCTTCAAAAACGCTATTACGATCACAATGGCGTTGGGTGGATCAACGAGCTCTGTGTTGCACCTAATCGCAATTGGTATTCCGTTGACCATTGACGACTTTGAGAGTTCAGTAAACGCGTGTCTTTCCTGGCCGACGTTTGAGTCTAGAGGTCGATACGTCATGGAAGATATCCACCGCGTGGGTGATAATCACCCACGCATCACCTGCCGTGCTTAAGTGCCTGATAAAGCAGGGCTTTATTAATGGCAATGTACTCACACAATATGGCTTCATCATCGTTCACATCACTCCTGGAGCTCAGGTTGGAGGCCCCATTGCTGTCGTGACAAGATCACTGTGGATGCGGAGAAGAAGTGCATCGATCTGGTGGATGTGACTGCTGAGGAGCTGACGGAGCATATGAAGGAGTGGGTTGCTCCTCCGCTCAAGGCCACTCGCGGTACAATGTACAAGTTTATCAAGAATGTCAAGTCCGCTTCAGAGGGCTGCGCCACTGACGAATAAGCTACATTAATCATTAGATGAGGTGAAATATTGTAGATATGTGCAGCTTGAAAGATAAAAAAACAAGTGAGAACGCTTTCCATCCACTGTCTACTGTGACCCGCCAGTCGCAAGCTGCTGTTGCGTGTGGTAAGACTTGAGAAGCAGTTTGCGCATCCGTTCTTGGGCCTCGTAATAGCCAGCACTTCGTTCAGGCCGTGTTGCATTTAAGTTGACAGTCGAAGGCGTCGCCATTGGCGGTATCTCGTCCTCCACGATTTCGTACACGCGACCAACTAGAGCATCCGATGGGTCTTTACCATTGTTATGACTCTTACCAGTGGCATTGCTGCTATTAGGTCGGTCAAACAGCATCGCTGGATGCATTGGTGTCGGTGGTGGGGCTCGTTTCGTAAAGTCAGCTTCCTCTGGGTTGTTTGAGGTTCCGTTCGCATTGTTGTTTTTGATAATGATGTTTCTCTCCATTGTGGTGACTGCCAAAGTGGCTAGCCGCTCCATGGTAAACGCACAACTTGCTCCGAGAGTGTCGCGCTTGGCGTAGTCAGCAACGCAGACATATCCTAGCTTCTTTCCTGTACGAGAGTAGATTGGACAGCCAGCGAAGAAGCGGATAGCAGGAAGCGACCGCAGCGAGAAGAACTTGAGTGCCTGCTTGTCAACGCTGGCATCCAGCACGATAGTCGGAGTCGACCCCATGATCTTTTCGATAAAGACAGACAGTTCACTGTCGAGTGTCGAACTCTCATCGAGTCCAACAGCAGAACGGATGAAGTTGTCCTTATCATCGACAATTGAGACTGAAGCGATCGGACAGTTGAGTGTCTGGCACGCTAGCTCGCACAGTAGGTCGAACATGTTGCTGTTGCTCCCTGTCGCGCGCTTCTTCTGCTCCATCGCACACAGCTGCGTCTTCAGACAGCGCTCGTTGATAAAATCATCGTATTCTTCGGTAGGAGAGCCCAGACACGTCGTCATGGGGTGAACCACGGCTGTGACTTCGTTATTAATGTCGACGGGACCGTCTACGGGCTCAACGCATTGCGCAGAGATGGTGTACTCGCTGAACGAATCGCCCGCCTGGCCGTCGACAGTACTGGTAGTGGCAATGCTGTTGGCCCTGTACGAGCCCTGTGTGCAATTATTAAGACCATTGGACGGCGCATCCGAGGTGGTGCTGTGGCTGTAGCTGTCCTCATGGTTACCCGCTTGGTTGTTCTCAGTGTAGGAAGACCGAGCAAATGATGAGCCAGTAGCGGATGATCCGACATTGCTGAGGCTACGAGCGCGTACAAGGTGGTCGAACACGTTGGTCTTGGCGAGCTGCTTGAGTGGAGTAGTACGTGCTCGGATGGAGCAAACTTTACAGAGTCGCAATTTCGAGTAGCCGATGGCAGGCAGATCAATCGTCTCGACTGTCGAGCAGTCCGAGCATACGACCTCACCGCAACGACGGCAGTGGTGTTTACGTCGCAGAGCGTGGAAGTTACGCGTGCAGAGGTTGCAGGTTGTGCGATCAGTGTTCTTAACCCAAGTGGCTCGCTGGATGTAGAGCTGACTGCCCATGCGTAGATCTTCTACGATCCCCTGCAATCTATTGAGGCAGCTTAGCAGGATAGCACTGACCATGGGTGCGTGCTTGGACGGGAAGCTACCGCACACGATGACTTCCGTCTCGTCCTCGGACACTTTACGCCAGAACAGACCAAGTTTTGTGAGCTTCGTCCGTGTCACGTGGTGCGTATCTTTGAGCTCCATGCAGCCTACGCGCTCACCTTCAGCCGACGTGAAGCACCAAACGTGTACACGCTGGCGTGGCTCAGAGTTGGGCACGTACGCCAAAGAGAGATAGTCCACAAGACACACGTCGCGTTTGCCGGAAATTCCAGTCTCGAAAGCTGCCCACTTGACTGTTAGCATCTCCTCCGCTTGTTCACCTAGTCCGTCGGCAGCAGCGGCAGCTTCTTCTTTTAAGCGCTCTTCCGTGGAGCTGCTGCATTCCGACGACAGCTTTCCTGTCGGAGTATCAACCGAGCTGGACTCCGAATTCCTATGCGGGTACGGCTCGGCTCCTTTGTCCCAAACACTCCCGCGTCTTGCATCATTTCCACTGAGGTCCTTTTCCTGATTGTTGTCCGAGTTTTCTCCACTGCCGCTGCCTTCAGGTTGGCTGTTTGAGCGTGCATGGCGCCCTTGTGGTTGCACTGGGCCGGCGATGCTGGTGTCGACATCGTTGGGTTTGATGACATTGTGGAGGATGAGGGTGTCGACATAGTACTTGCCGAAGCACTTGCGCATGAACTCACGCCAGCTCTCAGAGTTGGTGTTGGCGACAACCTGGTTTACCTCGTGTTCCTGGCAACGGAGCACCGTAGCCGCACGCACGAGTCGGTACGAGACTGCCATGTTGCTCGTGTCCTTGCGGATCTGGGTGCCGTCCTTCTCAGGGGGAACGTATCGCCATTGATCGTTGAATGACTGGTTTAAACAGGTGAGAGCGTTCGCCTTGGCTAACCGGTACAGTTTGTCATTCTTGAACTTGGCCAGAGGAAGGCTGCGGAAGAAGTCGGATCGCAATGGGAACCCGGCATGGCTGTGCGTGTGGTTCATCTTATAAAACGGTCACTACGAGCCGCAGCAAAATGTAGTGTGACGAGTGTTCACGTACGACGCTAAGCGCTGGTCGTTGCTGCGGGTGCGAGATGTTCAGAGCAAATGCCGTAATGAGCCCAAGGTCGTTTTGCTCCAGCACAGGAGTACAAGTGACCACCTGACGAGTGACCGAACACACGGAAAAGCGCTCCATGAAGCGAAGGACTATGCAGGCGGCCCACACGGAAACGGCCGCCATGCCGTTATATCCCAGCTCAACAAAATGCAGAAACTCAAAGGTGGAAATCCGGAAGAGAAGAACAGTTAAAGAACCGTGAAGTGGGTGAGTAGCGATTGACTCGATTGCTTGAGCAACCCGTATTGACCTATACGTGGCGGCGCTCAAAACAACTAAAGCGATGGTGGAAATGTCGGGACAGGCATGGTCGCCCAGTCCGACAACTTCAAGCTGAGCCCCTCGCGGAAGCGGGCATTGGTTGGTTCATTGATCTATCGCTCACTCATGCTCCGGATCTCATCGCCGATGAAGATGCGCATCGGTGTCTGGCTCACGGAATTAATGGAACCCAGAAAAGCATTGAACAATTTACCATCCAAGGGTAAAGCGCGTCTGACAATCGCCTCAAGCATGGAAAGTAGCGCTTGTTCAAATTACCGATGTTGACTCGTGACTTTAAGTCAGACGTGGGTAGCCTGAACATTTCAGAACTCGCACTCGGCTCTCTGAACTTAGACGTTTCTTCAGACTCATAGGAGCCCTTCGGCGGCAGTTCTCCAGGACGTGCTGGAGTCTTCGTTTGGTGCTATGCTGGTAGCCTGTACCGGCTTGCAGAGCTTATCGTTCCGTGGTGCAACAAAATAATCTTTGCGCTGATCTTGACAGCGACAGAGATCGAGTAGACTTCGACTTATCTTGATAGTTGTACTTACACGTCAAGGGATAAGGTGGATCATGTATCATGTATTCGCTGCCATTTTTGAGTGAACAGCAACCGTTGTTTCTAGGGATCGCCTATCGATCGACGAGTTGAGACCGGAATAGTAGTAAAACGCCTTCTGCGTTTATCAAGGCCGTTTCAAAGTAATACTGTACTTACTTGCATCCTCAAATGATGGTCTCACATACTGTTGCCTTTTAGAGGCCATGGTTAGTTGCATTTTGCTCGGTCCTTCTGGCACAGTGACCGTCACCGTGACGATCGTCACTTCCAGTTGCACTGCAACTTGCACAACGATAAGTGGAGGTGGAGTCCACCTCAGTCAAGAATGTCAAAAGGCGACGACGACTGGTGCAATGCTGCTGCCGTCACTTGAAATGAAGACTCCATCCGAGTAATGCACTGGCACGAGCGATTCGAAGAACATAATGATGGCATGAACGACTAGGTACTACATGTAGTACCTCAGCTTAATAATATCTTACCGATACTGTATGTGTTCATTTTCGGTGTGCCACGAGTCTAAAGACGAAATATTTGCAACAATTAATATGGCACCTTGCTAGTGATAAGCTGTCTCTGATATCGGAGGCCCCCAAAACCCAGACGCTGTACATGTACAGTAGCTGCCTAGTCTGGGTGGCTTCAACATTAAGGAGCTTGTGACAGTTGTATTGATTTGCATCGATCTCTGCGAAAGCGCTTCATAGCGGTACTGTACTGTAGCGACAAGTTTTCGCTATTGCGCGCAAGAGATAAAATACACTGTATAGTTTACAATATACAGTGTATATTGTACACCGGTATTCTTGTGTACTGTACATACAGTAGTCGATTTGCAAACACGAATTGATTATCAAGCGTTGGTGACAGCTTCAACATGTTTAACATTCTGATAAAATGTAAATATTTGCTTTTTATCTACATCTAGTCTTTAATACGCTTCTCCCATTGGTCAATTAAACTCAACGCATTCGCTTTTGCAAAAGTTCAACAACTCGGCGCCCCGACGTGCGTCAGCAAAACCGTCGCGCACTAGCGATTCCGCCCCCGAACCCCCAAGTCTCCACACGGCTGTGCTCTATTACTATATTGCCCACTTCTGGCCATGCTCGCTCGTCGCCTGCTGCGTACCGCGTCCTCTCGCTCGAGCCTCCGCAATGCCTCTCCACGCATCCTGCGGCATCCAAAATCCCTGTCGGCGTCAACATCCCCACTCACGTTCCGTTCCTTCTCCATGATCGTGCACGAATCCCCCCACCCGGAGGTGGAAATCCCCGACAAGACTATCTGGGACATCGTTGAGGACCAGCTGAGTGTCCAAGCGGACAAACCTGCTTTCATTGACGGCATCACGCACCAGCATGTGTCGTTTAAGGAGCTCCACGAACGAGCCCGGCGGTTTGCTATCGCTCTCTCTAAAAACGGCGTCAAAAAGGGAGACGTACGAAGCTCTCTACATAGCGATAACTGTAGTTTTCCATCGGATACTGACGATTTTGCGGCTTTTTACAGGCGGTCATTGTGCACTCGTTCAACTGCCTCGACTACCCCACGGTGGTACTCGGTACGATTATAATAATAATTACTTGTTAAACCAGTTTTGAAGGCACTCATGATCGTTTCGGTGACGCAGCGCTGACTTCGCTGGGCGCCGTGTGCTCACCTTCGTCGCCTATGTTCCTACCGGACGAAATGGCCGTGCAGATCAAGGCGTCAAAGGCCAAGTTCATTATCACCCTCAAGGACTTGGAAAAGACTGCTGTAGAGGCTGGCAGATTGTGCGGCGTCGAGAAGCAGTTCATCTACTCAATGGGCAAGTCTGCACATGACCTCAAAAGTATCGAGTGAGTTCCGCATCCTCATTTCAGAGCAAGGGTTTACCTAGAATACTGACGTTGTTTTGTGTGCTCCAGTGACCTCGTCAAGCACGCCGACAGCAGTTTTCAATTTGAAAAAATCGATCCAGAGAGCAACGTCATGCTGCCATTCTCTAGTGGGACGACGGGAGTTCCTAAGGGCGTCGCATTGAGTGCCAGGAACTTGCTGAGTAACGCTTTGCAGGTTGACCACGTGCAAGATCTGAATGGATATTCGCTGGGCTTACTGCCGTTCTTCCACATCTACGGCATGATGATGATGCATCTGTCGATGTATCAAGGTGCTGCCAAGGTGATCCTGCCGCGCTTTGAACCCGAGTCATTCCTCAACGCCCTGTCCACCTACAAGGTAATATACCTTCTACATTGTGCGTCTTGTAGACGAAAAAAAAAAACTCACCTCTTGTTGCTGTGCTTATAGATCCGTGCGGCACACATCGCTCCCCCCGTCGCTCTGTTCCTAGCTCATCATCCCCTCGTCGAGAACTACGATATCTCGGCGACTCGGTTCCTTGTCTCTGGCGGAGCACCGATGGGCAAAGAAGTGGAGAAGCTCGTGAAGGACCGACTGGGGGTCACTGTGAAGCAAGCGTACGGCATGACTGAAGCTTCACCGGCAGTCAACTACGCTGAGGACGCCAACCGCAAGCCGGTAAGTACTGCAAATTACTCAAGTTTTGTCCAAAACCCAACGACTAACACTGGTTTTGCGTATCAGGGAAGCGTTGGTCGTTTGCTGCCGAACACTCAGCTTCGTGTCAAGTGCACGGCTACCGACAAAGACCTTGGCATTGGCGAGCACGGAGAATTGCTGTACAAGGGCCCCCAAGTCATGCTCGGCTACACCAACAACGCCGAAGCGAACAAGAGCGTGTTCACCGAAGACCGGTTCTTGCGTACTGGAGACATTGGCTTCATCGATGAAGATGGCTTCGTCTTTATTGTTGATCGCGTCAAGGAGCTCATCAAGTACAAGGGACATCAGGTGGCACCGGCCGAGTTGGAGGACGTGTTGAACCACCACCCACAGATCTCGGATGCCTGTTGTGTCCGAGGCAAAGACGCCATGGGAGAGGAGATCCCCAAGGCCTATGTGGTGCTGAAGGACCCGAAGAATGCTGCCGGACTCACGGAAGAAGACGTCATGGACTTTGTGGCTTCCAAGGTCGCTCCTTTCAAGAAGGTGCGTCAGGTGGAGTTCATCGACGCCATCCCGAAGAGCGCGACTGGCAAGATCTTGCGACGCGAGCTCCAGGAGTATGAGAATCAGCACCACCAGAAGGAGAATGCGGCGTAGGCAAGTGAACAAAGCTATTCGTACCAGCGTAACAAAACGTTAAAAATGTAAGTCCTATCTCCCTATGCAGACGGTTGACGGCTGAGGAAGTCCAGCAGAGCAGCGTTCACTTGGTTGGACTGGTCCAGCGCCTTCTGGAGGCCGCGAATGGCCTCATTCGACTGCTCGACTACTTGTTTCATGCCGTCCATCGATCGAGCCATATCGCTCTGCAGGTTTTGGATGGCCTCCAGCTTCCGAGCGGCCTCAATAGACGAATCAGTAGCAACAATCGACGTCTCGGACATATTCAGCCTTCTTCTCTTTGCAACCATATCGGTCTGCACAGGTGACGAAGCCTGCCTGTCCACTAGACTTTGACTTGCTTGAAGTGGAGTTGAGTTGACTGGAGGTGCAGAGGTTATCTGTGGGACCAGGGCCGTTGACTGTGCAGACAGCTGGGAGTCCTCCAACTGGCCCGGTACGATGAATCCTTGACTGGTAGTTGCTCCCTTCACAAGAACCTCCTCATCATCCACACCCACATCAGCGTGGTTGTGAACCCCTTCTTCTCCAAAGTACTCGGCCAGCATATCCCAGCAACGCGGGTAGATCACCAACTTGTTAGGATCTTTCGCAGCTATCTCCTCCTCAGCACGAAACTTCACATACTGCTCCTGCAAATATCTGTACTTGGCTCGCAGTTGCGTCACTGTGACTGCCTCGCCATGCATGGTGTTAAACTCTCTCCGGATCATCTCCCACAACTCGCGATGTTGCGACGGACCTGCAGCGTCAACGAATTGCTCTCCGTGCTTTACTAGACGCTCAATGAGGAGTGACTCAACGAGCGCGTCGCTCCATGTCATTCTACCTGCGCTCTTGGGTCTTTCGGGCTCGGGCGACGGCTTCTTTTCTGTCGCGCGACAACGCACGTATTGTCTTTCGGGCAGCGGCGCATCTTCACTGGGCAACAGGTTGCTATTGACCTTTTTGCCGTTACGTATCAAGTCTCGGGCTCGGTACACGAGACGGAGCTGCTTCTGCAGTGACACGCCGTGACGTTCCAGCATCAGGTCCATGAGGAGCTCGATCGAGGCCTTGGGATTGGCCCGCACGGCCTCCACGAAAGCTGGTAGTGCGGCGACCTGCCGGGTGGTGAGACGGCACTTGGAGTTGCATCCCTCCGAGTGTGTCAGATCCAGCGATGCGATGTACCACTTGCCGTATGTCTTCTTGTCGGCCATGCGCTTGCGGTAAATCTGCACGAAGAAGCCACACGGCACTTCAGACGAGCACACCAGACGCCGGTCCGAGCCGCTTGCGCGCTCCACGCGGACGGACTTGTGGCGCGCTAGTGCATAGTCCTGAACGGCGTGCGCGCTCTCGGGTCCAGTGTCGAAGGCCAAGCCAACTTCCAAGGGTGCAGAGGTTAGACTCATACGAGCGACGAGAGGCGTAGGAATGCGCGAAAAACGGAGTGACGTGTACTTCTTTTTCTGACATTTTTCGTGTGGAGAACATAAGGAAAATTGCCACATTTTGCGTAAGAATTATGCGTATTAATAAGTATTCTGTGACCCAAAATATAAAATCGTGCAGGAGGGCTTTCATACGCACGCCCATAAAGTGCACGGTTTTGCAAAGCCTTCTTTCACGATTTTATATTAATCGACCGGAAATGGTTTATGCATAATTTCACGCAAATGCCACCTTAAACACTAATTCAGGTAACGGCACGCGTGTTGACAGAACCAGGGGTAGTTTTTACGAGCAGCTCTCAGTCATGTTCCAACCGTTCATTCTGTTGTGCTTTGCCTTGTCCAAGAAGATGCTTCAGTTCCATCCCAGTCACCGGTATCAGCAGCCCCCTCCCCATTGTGACCACACATTTACAGTATTGGCTTTTTGCCTGCTATGTATTGAGGGGTACCGGTTTCAGGCGGTAAGTGCCCATAAACCGGTAACCAAACCGGTCCAACACGATCCCGCGATAATTACAGTACGTTGATTAGACGAGTAGGATGATTGGACGAGTGCAGAATGTTGGTGATTGGATGCACCAATTGATTGGATGACCTAGGTAGTGAGGACTGTGTAAGCTCCAATAAATCAATCACTTCGGAATCTTCCTTCTTCCCCTCAAGTGTCTTCGCTCCGGTCTACTCCCCGAGTGGTGACTCTTCCCTTCGCTTCGTACAAGCCCAACGTTACCTAAAACCCGTGACCTCTATCACTATGAACGCTCCTTTCCTCCCTATGCAGAGTGACTGTAGCGACCAGCCACAAATGCACCAGCTCCTCTCTCGTGGCGATGTTGGCGTGTTCGCTCCGGTGCCACCTCCAGCCGCTGCCGCCACTCCCTCCCGCATCGCAGCCGTCGACGAATCTGTTTTCTTTGCAGGATGCAGGTACTGTGCTGGGAGATTCAGAGATGAAGACAGCCCCAGCGGAGCCGGCATCAAGGATGCATGGCCCAGGCTTCACTAAAAAGATACCTAGAGGTAAAGGAAAACTACAGAAGACATCAAAACGGATGAAGTGAAGCAACGAAATGGTAGCGAAGCTGCTACGCCTCCGTTTTGCCGATGGTGACGTAAAGTGCCGTATTGAAGCCGCTGACACCAAACTAAAAACGTCGTTGGCCTGGCAATTCCTTGCAAGTATTGTATCGCAGTCTGTTGGATACGTCATCAGCCAGGAACAGGTAGCGTTGGGAAATATATATCATTGCTAGCATCTCACTAATGAACTAATTGCATCAATTGTATTCTTTTCAGCGATGTGTAACAGGCTAACAAAAAAAAATAGGAAACTCAAGTGTATGTACCTAGAAGAGAAACGTGAAGTGAGGAGAACCGGAAACGACACTACAGCGCGTGGAGATATTGGCGAAGATCTATGGGGCATCTTAAGCGATGCGTTTTCGTCAAAAGAAGGACGAAATGGTGAGGTGCTAGCTAACACGCACGACGACTTGGATGGCGAAGAAATGGAGCAGGAGAACAGTGCGGTGGATGCTGGAGTATCTAAAGACAATATACCTCCAGTCACTCAGCTAGCTACCGTTAAATACGGCCGGAGTGAGACAAACGGGCGGAATGCAACATCACCATTTATTATAGGTGAACATTCCTCTTGTTTAAATACTGATGTTTTAATAGTACTTAAGATTAAAATGATTATTGATAGTCTTGTTCATAGTTAATGTAGTATCGTCTACCATTGAAGCATTCGTGAGATGGCAACATATCCCAGCGTTTCTAAACGCGTTGGGTGTCCATGCCTTGTTTAGATAAGGGCAGCACGTCATGTAAGCGCGGTCAGTGAGGAGGGATGTCACAGCTAGTAATGTGTCTGTCCTGTAATAAAACCTCATTAGTTTTTTTTTATTAGAAAATTAAGCAACATATGCTGTCTCACTCCGAGCGTATTTTACGGTAGTGCAATGGAAAGTAATATGAACGCAATTGCAGTAGCTATGAGCTCACAGCAGTGTACCATTTTCTAGCGCTCGCACATGCTATGGAGCAGCAGACGCAAGCGATTCGTGAGCAAGGCGGGGTAGCCCATCACTTTTAGCAGCCCCAGCTAGCGCTTTTGCAGCGACTGGTAGATAAAAATCAGTAAGAGATGCAATTGAGAGCTGACATGTAGTAGCTCATAATCGTATTTACACAGTAACAATTGACTACTCATCTGTATAAAACGCATCTGCGATGTCGTTACGCTTAGCTACACCTTGCATATTTGACAGTGATTGTTCTGGGTCGCTTAAATCCTCTTCAACATGTGAGCGTCGCTCCAGAAGCATGGGGCCAGCACCATCAATTTCCACAGAATCTTTTGCCAAAATTAGCAAATCATGCAAAACCGCACAACCGAAAATTACCTTACATATACGCCTAGAGGTTTTCTGCTCTAGCTTGCCAAGTAGTACGCGAAATCGATTTTTAAGTCACCCAAATGCACATTCCAACACAATTCTAGTACGTGAGTGGAGCTAGTTGTAACAGCGTTTTCGCTGATCCCCAATTGTGTTTCCTTCCGGAAACGGCGTAAGCAAATGGCTTCATGTTTTGTAGCCGGTACCGACTAGCAAATGCTTGCCCGGATGCGCAAAAGAAGACAAACTTCACACAAAATAAGTTAAGTTATTGCAAAAGGTATTATACAAAATCACCCTTACCGTTTTTTTTATTTTACTTCCACTCCACAACGATTGATCGTTGTTCGAACCCGCACGAGCTGAAATGGCCGAAAGTAGCCACGGTGGTCGACTATAGCCTGCCCATTGATCGCCGGAAAGTATTTCCTGCAATACCACCCCTCAAAGTGGTATCGCGATCAATGTGCTGTCAACGGCACCAACAACACCAGGAAATCCAGCTATAGCCTCAAACCCTGCTTCACTATATGGTAGCTCCTCGGGTGTAGTCATTGCAATGTACCGTGGCGCCAGTCGAAATATCACATCAAGTGTGTTATTAATGTAGACTACAGCGCGGGGACGCGAATTCCAAACATAGTAGCCGCTTCAATTGTGCCACCTTGTGTAAGACAAACCATGATAAAATCAACCCTTTTACGCTGCAAACAGAATCTTGTACTCCATATTAAACGACGTTTTGTCGCAGCGCATCTTTTTTTAGAGCCAATTGGTCATCTTGGCAGCTCGAACGTCGTGTTTAAGAACGTGGACTTGCCGGACGGAGCCCATCGTATGCGATGCTTGTCGATGATAACAGCGCAAACACAAGCGCTACCCACGACTGCAAAGTTTATAAGCGTTTTTACTATGCATGTCACTATGTCGCGCTTGCTAACTCGTGGACACTGTGAGGCTTAGGGTTAGGGAAAACTTGACTTAAGTGATATTAACAAAACAATGTATTTTGGTAGGTTAATCAACTGCTACAGGTTAAACCCACGCCTGCATCACTACTGACGGCTCAACCACTGGCACCCCTGGCATAACATCTATCACTGGCGGTATTGCCGTCATTATCTGCACAGGAACTCATCATGGCTTGTTGAGCTGGTCGTTTTTTTTCCTGGCACGATTGCTTGAGTGTTCCTCATTCTGGAGGAGTGTTCGTTTAAAAATTTGGTCCCCGTCTCTTTCCGCTTTTTTTGCCCTTTTTGAGTGCTCGAGCCGGCAGAACGAGGAACCCCTGTCCCATGATATCCGAGACTTACTACCAGGCAGCTTCTCTCTATGAAGCAGGCACCCTTCGTTGCGCTCAAAGCTCTCTAGCTTAGCGTGCATATTCACACGTAAAAGCGGGAAGATTCCACAGCTACTAAAACCGACAGAAAGGTTTCTTCCCAAGCATGCATAATTCCATGCTAGGGCAGCAACACCCAAGGCTCTCTGCTTGTCCACGGTACCCTCACCAATGGTCGGCAGCAGTTTGTCGATGAGGACTTTGAGACTGGTCTTGGAAGGCGAAGATACCGCAACATCCAAGCGCTGTAGGATATGGGTGCCGTTGGGTGGTAGACAGACAAGCATAATTCCGACCCTTGGCAGTATCGACAATTGGTAGCGAAATATGGGAGGAGCATCCATCCATAACTAGTAGCAACGGTCTTTTAATAGGAGTAGGAACCGCATTCGAAAAAATGTAGCCACTGGCGAAAGAGCGAGGCAGTCATGGAGGTCTTTACTGTCGTGGTCAAACCGGCACCAGGTAAACTGCACTTGTCGAAGATGTCATCGTCAACACTTTTTCCGGGAAAGACAAGCAGCGGGGGGACAACAAACCCGCTCGCATTACCACAGACCACGAAACCGAGGTGGAAGTGCGTCTTAATTTGCTTGTGCCACAAATGTTTAGAGCCGTTTGCCACAACTACTTGCTTGTGCTCTCGAGTAGTCTTGATCGCGGTTTCGTCGACGTTAAAAGCGCGAGCAGCACCCATACTATGCTCGATGATGGCTTTGACATACTAAGAGAACAAAACGGACAGGTCTCGCTCTTCAAACTCGTTACGTGACTTCGAAATAGCCTGTGAAGCTCGCATTGTTAGCGAAGGGTATCACTCCAAGAAGCGACGAAGCCAACCTCCCCCCACCGATAGCCCACGCACGAGGTGAGACACTTATTGCGCATTTTCAAGGAGCTCGCAGCGGCTGACAGGGTGCCCTACTTGCTGCCTTTCCAACATCCAGTCCCGTAGACTTTCTTCCGCTTCACGTAGCAACAGAGGCGAAAGACCTCGGCGCTTCGGCTCTCGTGGGGCTCTTTTGTGTGCAGCTGCCACAAACGCCTTGAGGGTACTGTACGGAATGTTGCTCTCTTCACTTGTTGTCTTCATGGAAGCCCTGCAAGGACAGCAGCCACAGCTGCACCTCGCTCCTCGTCACTGCATTGGGCGCGACGCTGCACCATTGGTGTGGTAGCTTGTGGAGGCGACAGGGATCTTGCGCGAATGGCGCGAAAACTG